CCATTTAGGGTCCCCTGGCAGGGCGAAATTAGCCATGGGGGTGCGGAGAATCCACAAGCCTGAGACAGGTCACTACTGTGCAAAACCTCTGCCTCCATTTCTGTAGGGCAGGTATAATCTATCAATATCACTGTGGGAATGTAATGAATAGTGAATAGTCTAAGTTTTCTTGTATTTTGATCCAAACTGTCCTGTTCAGCTTATGTTCAGTTAATAATTCTAGCAGTTTATTGTATCACAGTTATGGTCTAGGTATTCATGGCCTTGATGTTTATTCCATTCGATTTTGTCATTTTTGGATGTATTCTTTAGTAATCACTTTTTAAATTTGGCCATGCGGGATGTTATCCAATTATAAAATTATCAGCATTTGTAGGTTTCATCCTGATAGCTTCTGATGGTTTAGCCATTTTGCATTTCAATTCCATTACTGTTTGTGATTTAGCCCAATTTATTGCTACCACAGCACATTTTTCTAGGCCAAATTCCATCATTACAGCTGTGATAAAAAATTTTTACAGACTTTTTCAATGAAGGATTTCAATTTCTGATTTTTCCATAAAGCTTCAGATCATCCATATAAAACAAATGTGAGATTTTATTAGAATTTTTTGCTGTGTGGTAGCCAAGATTTATTTTCTTCAAAATCACTGAAAGTGGGATCATTAGCAATGGCATATAGCAAGAATGATAATCAGTAGCCCTGGAAGATGCCTTCTCTAATATTGATAAGGCCATATTTTTCATTCCCAACTACGAATTTGTCTTTCACTGTTTCATTGCCTTTTCCATAAATATTTTAATGTTTTTATTACTAACAGTTGCTTTCAAACATTTGATGATCCAACTATGTGGTAATGAATCAAATGTCTACTTTTGATGAGAAAAATAGAAGAAGTAGGTTCTTTTGAAACTAGTATATTGTGGGATAGACAGCACCACTACCAGGTGGGTTTGCAACTGGCTAACAAATTGTACTCAATGTGTAGTCCTCAATGGAACTACATCCACACAGAGAAAAGGAAACAGCAAGTACCCCACTGGTTCCGTATTAGGCCCAGTACTCTTCAATATCTTTATAAATGATCTAGATGAGGGGATTGAAGGGGAACTCATCAAATTTGCAGAGGATACTAAGTTAGCAGGAATAGTCAATGCTCCAGAAGAAAAGTTCAAGATCCAAACAGATCTTGACAAACTTGAACACTGAGCCCTATCTAACAAAATGAAATTCAATGTAGATAATTAAGGTTCTACACTTAGGTAAGATAAACCAACTGTGTAGGTAAACCCCTAGGTGAAACTTGGCTTAATGCCAGTAAATGCAAGAGGAATCTTGGAGTCCTAGTGGACAATCACTTAAATATGAAACAACAGTGTGCAGCAACAGCTAAAAAAGTCAACACAGACCAAGGCTGCATTAATAGAGGGGGTCAAACTATTTTCCAAAGCATCAAATGGCAAGGCAAGAAATACTGGTTGGAAACTAACCAAGAAGAAAAGCAACCTAGAACTAAGGAGAATTTTCCTAATGATGAGAGCAATTAATCAATGGAATAGCTTTCCTTCAGAAGTTGTAGGTGCTCCATCACGGAAGTCTTTCAAAAAGCCATTTGTCTGAAATGATATAGTCCAAGCAGGGAGTTGGACTAGAAGACCTCTGAGATCCCTTCCAACTCTATTACTCTGTGTTGTATGTCTTTTTTAAATAAAGTTTTATTAATTTTTTTAACAGAATTTAATAGTAATCATTCAACAAAAACGTGTTGTCTAAGTATCTTATTCACTAATATAAATTAAATTCCTAATCCCTAAATCTTTTCTCTAACCATTGATAAAATAGGTCCCAAATTTGAAAATATTCTGTTTCTTCTTTTTTTTTTCAACCTTAAAATAAGTCTGTCCATTTCTGCACAATCTAGTATTTTATTATTATTATTTCTTCTTCTGGTGGTATTTCTTCATTCCTCCAGTATTGTGCAAATATAATTCTTGCCGCTGTTATCACATGTAGAATCAAATATGTACTTTGCTTATCAGGTTTTTCTGGCATTATACCTAGTAAAAAAAATTCAGGGTCATAGTCTATGTCTTTTTATAATCAATCCAGACCATGTGTAAATTGATTCTCCAAAACCATTTTATCAATCAGAAGTTTATTGATTGATTGCTTGCCCTTTTATTTCTTTGTTTGGAAGGATGTTATTTTCTTCTAAATAATTGGATGTTGTCTGCTATTATGTCTATGAGTAGTGTAAACATTATAGGCAAGCATGTTATCAGCCTGTAGTTTCCTGGTGTTATCCTTTCACTAGATATTTTTTGAATCAGACAGGTTTTTGCCAGTTATTAATCAGCTGCCTATGTTTCCTTTATGCAATGCTTCATTAAGCTGTTTAGGTATAATTGGATGTAAGTTAAGCCAGATATTTAAGACAAAAGCATCCAATTAATCATTTCCAAGACATGTCCAGTTTTTAATCCTTTTATTTGATTTTTACCCATTTATCCTGTTATTATTTGTTCTTCCATTTGATTTTTACTAAATTCATTCTCAAATTCTTTTATCCATTCATCATTTTTATTAATCTTTTTGCGTTTCCCATTGATCTTTCCAAAACAGTATTGTTTCTTCTTTGTTTGTTTTTCCATTTTCAGAATTTCTATTACCATTTATACTTTAGTAGAATTTCCTTTGCTCTGATTGAAATAGCTGATTTTTAAAAAATTGGTTGATTTGTGCCTCATAGTGTTCCATTTTCATAGCTATTGCTTTAAAGAAACTTTAAAGTTTCTTCATTTTTTTCTGATGCTAAAACAATATTTTCTGATTAGGCTGGTCTTCATCCTTACATTCTTTACTTTTTGCTCTTTCATGTTCTTTGTATCTGGTCTTAATTTCTTTATCTTGACCTCCAATCTGATCTTTGACTTTGGGATTGAATATAAAGTTGTTTTTGGTTTTCTAATTTTGAAACCCAGTGCTTCTGTAACCACCACTGCTGTATTGTAGGCGAACTGATTGGTCTATTCAATGGATATTTTAATCCTTACAAGGGTGTTATTGTAAGAATTACAATTCCTTCATTATAAGTGCCAGATCTTTGGGGGACTCAACTTTCAATGCTGGCAGTTTTTCTACTGATCATTCTGCATATGCCATAATTTTCTTTTTTAATTCTTCGGGGGGTGGGTGGGTGTCAGTTTGTTTCAGTGCTGGCCATTACTGGTTTTATTCTAAGTTATCATTTCTGTAGTTCATATCAGCTGTTTTTTTATATTTCCAATTGTTATGAGTTTTTTTTACTATTCTACTATTGTTGATCACATAGTCAGCCAGACATAACATACTGGTATTTATTTTTATTTGTGCAACTAAGCAAGTATTTTATTGTACATCCAGTACACAAGATTATTGAAATGTCTGTATCTTCATTTGCTTTAGAAAGGTCAAAACCTGCATATCCTTGGGACAACCTGTTGGTGGTCACATGCTGGCAATGGGAAAGAATGTGTCCAAAGTCATTAAAACTTCCATTTACTCTTTCTCATACCCTGCTTTTTCTCTCTCAAAATGGTGTCTACAGGCTATGGTCAAGGTGGTTGCTGTGACAGCTCTGCCTGATTTTAACATACAAGGAAGGAAGGAAGGAAGGAAGGAAGGAAGGAAGGAAGGAAGGAAGGAAGGAAGGAAGGAAGGAAGGAAGGAAGGAAGGAAGGAAGGAAGCATTGTTAGGGCTGCTATCATGACTTTTTTTTTTATCATATTCTGAGCCCATCTGTCTCCCATACAACATGTGCTCAGGGAAGCAGTAGGCAACTCTTATCAGAAGTCTGATCTGATCAGTCTCAGAGTTTTTGCATTACCAAAAACAGAATGTTACACAATCTGAGCACCTTTTAAATTCATATTTTGAAGGAGTTTGGGCAATTAGAAAGGCAGAGACAGGGAAGAAACATTGACTGAATAGAATACCTACTAAAATGGTTATTGTATTAGAAATAAAGATCATGAAACCAAGCTAATGTGGATATCTGGATTGTTTGCAAGATCATTCTAACTTAGCACAAACCAAGAATAAATAGTATATATTATTGCCTTTACCCCCATTGTCAGCAACAGGGATTATGTTACTATTCTTAAAGATAAATTGCCCTTAAATCTTGCTCTAGTATTACATAGGTACATTAGGACTCTGAAAGAATAACAGAGCAAAAGATCCCTTTTTAAAGTATACATTATTGCAGAAGCATTTTTAAAATCCCGTGTTAATCTATACAATTAAAAATAATTAAAAGATATTTAGAGGTGGATTGATTTGCAAAAATATTACCCTTTTATGAACAATAAAACAGGATACATATATATTAAAATAATTTTAAATCTATTAACTGAAAATACAAACTGCTGCTATATGTTGTAAGTATAAAAGATAGCTAATCTGTATTGAATAATCTTAACTCTGAGGTTATTTGTTCTCAAGCTCTGATGGAAAAAAATCACTCTGATTAATTGGTCAAAATATCATTTATATTTTTTCTGCTTCTCAAGCACTGTATATATTCCAAAGCATATCATTCTCTTTGAACAAATCTCATGAATATTTATAAATTAGGCAAAGTAACATGAATAATGCTGCAAAACAATATGGGAAGAAAATGACAGCTGTAGATTCTAAGTTCCCATCAATAGTGCTCCAGCAATCCTTCTTCACTAATGTTAATGGCTGTGATCCAAATAATTTTATGAATGTAACAAGGGAGAACCATATGGATAGTGTGAACCTGGTCTGATAAATTGACACTGCAGCAGTTCCCAGGCTGAGGACACTGACTGCTGCTTTTCCAACAGACAACCCTTGTTTTTCAGGCAGCGGAAATAGATCAGCTGATGCCAAATGCCTGCTCTGACTGCTTGGAAATTCCTTTGTGGATCATAAGCCATGGCTTTTACCAAGTCTTTTGTTAAGCCTGGCAAAGAGGTTGGGACAAATTCTTACCTGCGGCTCCAGATTTCCCATTGAACCCTGGAATAGATAAATCATCCTCCAGCCTTTCATGGTTTAATACATAGGCTTTGGCCCTGTAGGCTCTGCCACCTCCTCCTGCTGCAATGATCAAGGGCACTGGCTTTCCGTTCTCCATCTTCAAAGGTAGAAATAAAATGAGAGTTTAACTGTGCCAGGTGTGCAAATAAAAAGTGTGTTCCTTATGTGTAGGCTGTACTTCGCAACCCCCACAGGGCTGTAGATTGATCTAAATTACTGTTGCATTTTTATGCACAGTGAACCCTTGATTTAACAAATGCTGGCTTAATAGATTTTGGATGCTACAGGCAAAATTATTTTTTGGATGCTACCCACAATTTACAGATGCTTATTTTTTTTTCCAGAATAGACCAGACAGCAGTTGCTTCTGTGCCTGTATTGGCAATCTTGATGGGCTGGTATTTTTTATTTTAGGTATTCTGGCTTTAATTTTGAAGTGCTGCTGCTGTGGCTTGAAAGGCTTCACAGAATCCAATGGTGGACAATAAAAGCAATTTTAGAATATATTAGTCAGTTCCCTAGTTGATCAATTTATAAACTGCCTCACTCTTCTGAAAATAATGTATAATGCAATACAGATAAAAAAATCAATGACACACAACAAAACTACAACACAATAACAATCGCAGTGTCACTGGTGGTGACAGGTCTGATTTCAGCTGTGGTCTTCTGGATTAGCCAGGCTTAATCATTCCCCAGTTGGCTATATGATTGGGAGCTAAGTTATTCCAAAAGATGGAAGAAGCCATTACGAATGCCTCTTCAATACTCCCTCGCTTTTGTACCTATTGATAAGAAGTTACTTTCTGCAAGCAGTCTCTGTTCAGAATTTATGGTCAGGAACATCCCCAGGCCCTGAGTCATATAGAGCTCTGTAGATGATAATCAGTGCCTTGAATTATGCTCAGAAATGAATTGTAGCCAATGCAACTCCCATAAAAATAGTATTACATGACTGTACTGTCATTGTCTTATAAGCACATGGGCACCTACATTTTGCACCAGGTGAAGTTTCCAGGAGGTCTTTAAGGACAATAGATCAAATGTCAGCCATCCAATTGTGAAGTGTCAAGGGTATGAGTGTCTCCCTTCATTATGTCCTGATCCAGATGGGCAAAAACCCTCCCGGTCCTGGTCTCTACTGCTTTTTCAGTAGGAGCTATGTAACCTGGTGATTATTTGGTTGCAAGTCTTTTTTTTTTTTAACCCTAACACAATGCAAGGTATATGTTGGTATAAAAAAGAGGCAGGCAACCCTTAAAAACTCAAACCTGTTCATATATAGATTTCTTTGCAGCTCTTAACCTTGCATAAATGTTAAATATTGACCATGACACTTAAGATATCCCTACTTTTTTTTTCCTATGATGGATTCCTATGTATTCCTATGAAGTAATTGCAATAAGCCAAAACTTCTAAAACAGTTAATGTTTCAAGGTAATGATTTAGAAGCTAACCAGCTTGTGTAATGTGAGATGAATGGTGCAATGTTAGGAATGACTCAGCAGGAATCTCTATCTCTTTAAGAGCTTGAGTATAAAAGGGAAGGCCTTGCTGGAGTCTCTCTCTCTCCCTCTCCCTCTCTCTCTCTCTTTCTTTCTCTCTCATCTGTTTCCTGCTGTAATTGCTGTGTATTGGAGTTTGTTGAATTATCACCACATGTGTGTATTTTGTTTCTAGTATATTTGTAGATATTGTAAACCACCATTTAATACAAACCACTGTTTACTGTATTTACTCCTGGGTTACCTAAGGACAATAAGACTGTGGATGCTCTGACATAATGCTTTGGGCACAGTACAAACTGAAATTATTAAGAAAAAAAGAGAGACAATGACTTCCTTGAGGCTGTGATTGAAGAGAGAAGGTGTTGACAATGCAGGAACCAGGGGCTTTGCTTCAAGGTTTACATTATTTCAGAGTTAGTTCCCCAAAGTCAAATTCTGAAAGAACTACTCATTCTGGTTTTGACACCCTCAAGTTTTCTGCTTGCCTTCTTCTCTTAATACAACCCATGTTAGAGAAATATTTTGCCTGAAAAAATCTCAAATTCAATCCTCTGCCTCCAAAAGAAGACCCCATAATTAGAATATAAGGTACTCCTTAATATAATAATACCTTAAATATGTAAGTTGCACCTCCTCCTCCACCTCCTCCTCCTGCCCATTCTTGGATGCTTCCATTTGCTTTAATTTCATCTTCAACCACATTATTCTCTCCACGGCAAACTTTCTGTATGGCATGATGGATCTGCAGATACAACCAGGCAAACAAATTCAGATGGAGAAATCTCTTCTTGGCCTCCCTCCATGGAAACCAGAGCAACTGAACCTATGTCATTCCAAGCCTAATTCTTAGCTTACATCTGGAGTAAAACGAGAAGAGTTCCAAAGTGAAAGAACTGTTTTCTCTAATCCAGTTGTCCTCAGTTGTATTGGAACTTTAAATTCTGGGATAGTCAAGCTTTGTTATCAAGTTTATTATCCGGGTATTTCAGGCTGTGGCTAAATCCTCTTTTGCATAAGGAACAGTTTGCAATTAGCTTAGTATGAAAATGAGTGTGCTAGAGATTTTTACTTCCTGGTAGGTTTTGATTTTCGATTTTATTACAGGAAATACAGAATGATGCACTAGAAAGCAATGAAGTAAGACATTCTGAGGCATGTCTAGAACAAGCCCAAGCCAATTGGCATGAAACTGATAGTAGGTTACAGGTTCTATGAAATAGAAATTAGTTTTTTGCCTGGCTTTTAACTGTGCTAATTTGCTAATTAATGCAATGGTAAAAGTGCTAGATCAGAGGTGTCAAACTCGCAACAACACGGGATGTGTCACGATGTATTGTGACTTTTTTTGCCATTATCGGCAATGATGCATTTGGCCTGTAGGCTAGCAGTTTGACACCCCTGTGCTAGGTAATTCCCTCAGGCGATGGTGTATTTTTATTTACAAAGAGATGATTGGAAAACAAATCTATCTTCCTGCCAGTGACCATTTGGTCTTCCTGAATATTTCAAGAGATTTTTCATCAAACCTTAATTATTAGAAATTATTTCCTAATGACCATATTGCTCTACTGAGCTCAAAGAGTGGCAGAGTTATGAATGTTGGGTCTGTCATTCTGCTCCTTGGCCCAGCAAGAGAGACCTTGCTTCAACCCCAGCTATATTAGGAAACAAATTTTAATTGTATGTTGGCATACTGTCTGTACTGTGAGACTCAGAAGTTCAGTATATTCTTTTCTAAAAGTAGGCTTACACACTGATGAAAAACTGGTTACTTTAGATTGGCTCTCAGTCCATCTGGATGGGGATGTCTTATAAATATTGTTAATAAAAAATTACTGTCAGAATAGACACAATGTAAAAAAAGAAGAAGGATTTCTAGGGAACGTCTAACATATAGATGAGAAATTACCTGTGACTGAATGCATTCACTCCAGAGCGTATTTGGAGGTTGGAACCAAACCTGCTTGACATTGTTAAAATGCTTACTTATATTCCAGCTTTTTTTTCATGAATCTTAAGATGATACAAACCTGACTTTTCATGTTTGAGGGATTAGATTATGTTGAAGAATAATCATTGCAATAGGAATTTGAATTCATAATCTAATGCTCTAAGCATTCCTCTAGATGTTTTTGAACTACAGCTTGCCTAAGTTTTGAACTGGCCATGCAGGTTGGAGCCAATTTTACTTGTGCTGTTTTTCAACTTATTTTATTTTATTGTTGAGTTTTTAATTGTTGTTAGATTCCCAGAGTCATGAATTTGAGATAGGCAACCACAAACATTTAAATCAATCAGTCAATTATATTGCATCATTTGTTCATTACAATCCATTTTTCTGCCTCTGTACATGTTCAAATAGTCACAGAATATTTATATACTTCCTTGAATGTTTTATTCATTCATTTGTTCATTTGTTCTTTCCTTCCTTCCTTCATCCATCCATCCATCCATCTTATATGCCGCCCATGTCACCTGGAGGTGATTCTTTTGCAACTGATTGATTGCAACCCAAGGTTTTTGGTATCAATGTTTTCAAAATCTGTAAGATGGTAGGCATAGCACTGTGAGCCAAACCCTGTCCTTTTTTTATGCACATGCTATGTCATTATACATATGGAAGGAAGAGATCTTGGATTGTGATACTGAACTGTGTTTATGTAGACTTTCACCACTACTGCAGATGCTGCTGTAGATACTTGATGGCTGCCAGATGACTGAGAAAATTAATTCCTTGAAAATCATTACATAGAACTATGTCCACGACTTCATACTGTTCCTTGTTAATTCAAACAACTCTCTCAGGCTTATCATATAATGCACAGGCAGGAATTGGCTTCTGTTTCAGATGTATTGTTTGAATACATCAGGCCATGCCATGTTATTTAGATTAATTTAATCTATAATCTATAAAAAGAAAAAAAGCATCTTTGGTCTTGCTTCATGCTTCACAATAAGAATTTCAGACCAAAGACAGAAAAACATGCATTATTCTTACTCTGTAGGTTATTTACATTATTAACCAGCTACAATAATTTAACATTTACAAGAAGAAAAAGAGAACCTAATCTGTACTAACTTACTAAACATATATCTTTTAAGTTTAATTTGTTGATCATTAGGAGCTTGATTAGAATTGGTCCTTCAAGGGCCATTTGGTATTATAAGAAAACTTCTACTAGCTGCATCCAATTCACATTGGAGGAGGGATGGCTAATCAAACAACTTCATGCAGTAACTCAAAGCTATTTAATTAGCCATTCACTTCTCCAGTTGTGACACATCACAGCTGGATTCTTACACACACACAAACACACACATTAACACACAAAATGTATTTTATGTATATATACTATGTATATGAAACACATTTCACAGCAAACACATAACTGATTACAATGAAATCAAGTTAAAACTACTGCTACTACTTTCACAAAGTCAATACAATATCTTTGCCTTGATTACATTACCACTCAATAAATTCTTGTAAAGTTACAGTGGCCTGTAATTTAATGATTTCATATATTAGAGTATGCTGCAATGTCCAGATCACTGATACAAAATAAGCAAAAGTGTTTGATTCTAAAAGAACAAACAACTTCTTGTATTCATTTATAAGAAGCAACAGGGATCTCTGAATAACAGATTAACAGAGTTGGAAGGGACCTTCTAGACAAATCCCTTGCTCAGGCAGGAAATCCTATACCATTTCAGACAAATAGTTGTCCAATCTCTTCTTAAAAATCTCCAAAGTTAGAGCACCCACAACTTCTGATGAAGTTGTTCCACTGATTAATTTTTCTAACTGTCGGGAATTTTTTCCTTAGTTTTAGATTGCTTCTTTCCTTGATTATTTTCCATCCATTGCTTGTCCTGCTTTCAGGTAATTTGGAGAATAAGTTGACCTCCTCTTCTTTGTGGTAGCCCTTAGATATTGAAACACTACTATCATGTCAGGCACTATTCCTTCTTTTCATTAAACTAGACATACCCAATTCCTGCAATCGTTCTTCATGTGTTTTAGCTTTCAGTCTGTCATGCCTCCATTGGAGCCTGAATCTGCAGAGGAAAATGAGCTGGAATGGGACCCTATGGAGGTCAAAGGAGAGGTGTCTGTGGTTTCAGAGGAATGTGGGTTTCAGAGCAGGCCGAGGCAGGCCAGGGCCCTTCAGAATTGGCACAGGATGAAAGGAGAGGCAGAGTTCAGGTGATGAGCAAGGGCCACCTCCACTTGATCCTTGAGCACCGAGAGTGGAGAGAAGGAGGGAACAATGCAGGCAGGCTCAACTACTTGGGAGAAGAGTGTCCCATCCCTCTCCACAAGGCACACCTGGAGACTGAGATTTAAGGAGACGCTGTGGGGAGAGGCATTTGTTGGGAACAAATGCTGATTCCTTGGAGTTTTATGTGTGTTGTTGCTGATCTCTTATTCTGTGACTTCTCCTTAGAAAGCTGGAAACTCTGACCATTGGACTGGCTGACAATGCTGCTTGGATGTTCAAAGATCTCAGACTGTATTTTGGCTTCCCTTTTGAAACTTCTTAGGCAAGTGTGTATTCACACAGACTCATTAGGTTTATGATGTATGTGTCATTCCTTGTTATCTCCGTGGCCTCTTCTCCTAATCAGACTGTATATGAAACTACTTGCAGCCAGAGGTGTGTGTCTTCCTTTGTTTGGAGGCTTGCCAGAAACGTGGGAGCATTTGGGGAAAATTTGGAGCAATTAAAGGGTGGTTTGAATTGCCAGCTGACTGCATTGCTCTGTGCTGTGCCCTGGGTCATCACACAGTTCCCTAACCATCTTTGTGCTCTTCTCTTTTCTCTTCCTAGAGTCTCAACATCTTTTTTATATCGTGGCAATCAAAACTGGATGCAGTACTCCAAGTGTGGTCTTACCAAGACATTATAAAGTCATACTAACACCTCATGTGATCTTGATTCTATCCCTCTGTTAATACAGCCTAAGATTACATTGGCTTTTTGCGGCAGTTGCAGCACACTTGGCTCATATTTAAGTGATTGTCTACTAGGACTCCAAGATCTGTCTTGTAGTTACTACTGTAGAGCAAGGCACCATCTATACTATACCTATGCACTTGGGTTTTTTGTTTTTTTGTCTAAATGTAGATCCTTACTTTTTTCACCATTGAATTTCATTTTGTTAGATATTATTTATTCTAATATAGTGCAACCTCCAATTTTCATTTGTTCAGGTAGAGCATAAAGAACCACTGTCTAGATCTTAACCACCCAAAAGATGCTCAAGACAAGAGCCCTGAAGAATACAAAGAGCAAAAGGATGGCAATTTAAAAAGATATCACTGAATATTTTCTGTATCTTGGAGTTCCCATATAAAAAATAGACCAAAATTTAAAAAATAAATTTGAAAAAAATGTGCCTGAATCCATCATACTCATAACCCAGTTAAATCACTGTCCTATCATCTGTTCCCTCCTGCCACCATTGTCTGCAGCAATCCAGCTGCCACATCTGGTGCTCTAGAACCAAGCAGGCTTCCAGTTTGTACATTAAGATGCTTCATGCATAATAACTCCCAAGATGAATGAGTTTTATTTACTGGGTAAGTAGAGAGCCTGAGAAATTGTTACCATAGTACAAGTTTCTTTCCTGATATACAACCCGTCAGCAATCACGTCCATCCCATCCCCCTTCTCCATTAGACAATTTACCCAGATGCTGCAGCAGCATTTTATACCAGAAATCAAATTCCCATTCAGAAGAACAGACTTGGCAAAAGATGGACATCATTTTAAACCTCTGAAAATGCATCGCCTGACGTTATGATAGGCTGTGTGCAGTCAGGAAGGCAGATGGAGTGACTGATCTACAGTGGTACTTGGCAGAGAGCAGAGGAAATGTTTGTATGTGGGGTGCAATCAGAACAGGCTATTTTTCCTGGGCCAGATACTTTTGTTGGATGATGGGAAGGATATAAGAACAGGCTACAATCAATAGGACAAAGGCTGGAAAGCTCAGAATGCCAAGATTTTAGCAGCTGCACAGAAATGGGAAGAAAAGTCATCATAATAAATGGTGGAAGGATAATCACTTACACTAGGACAAGCATCTTCTCCTTGTTGTCCCACCAAGATATATAAGGTATCATTCTTCTCAAGTGGAAATATTCCCACAACATTCACACCATGTGATCTCATCATACTGTTTTTTCCTTTGCCACCAGCTGCTCCATAGCCTGAGATGCTGCAAATAAAAGAAAAACAAAACAGAAAAAAGGCAAAAGGTCATAAGAGAAATACAACCAGAATTATTTATTCTGACCACAGAATAACCTGGTACAGATTTTTCCCCTCCCCCAGGTTTGTCATTTTCTAAACCTTACATTTGCTTTATAACTAAGTGGTTCTTCTTTGCTATATCTCAGTCACTGATTTAACTGGCCCAGAATCTATACTCTTTCAAGATGATCAGAAGCTGCTGATTGGGCAATATTGGAAGAAGGATTCCTTGCCTACTATAGAAGAATGGTTTCTTAAAGTTTCTTATTTATCAGAAATGGCAAAAATTTCGGCTTATCTGAAAGACCATTCACAAGAGAGATATATCTCGGTGTGGAAAATGGGTAAATTTTGTACAGAATAAATATGGGATTAGGAAGTATTATTTAGCTTTTGAATAATTTATAGTTTAAAATGGGTATGGTTGGATTTGTAGTTTCTATGTATTGGAGTTAAAGTACTTTAAATTTTTTGGATGTATGTATAGTGGATTGATGTTCATTTAATTTGTATGGTTTTTTTTGTTTCTTTAACCCTGTATTCAGCTCTTGGAACGAGGGGGGAGGGTTATGGGATGGGAGGGGAGGGTATTTTATTGTAAAAAGTTTATAAAAATTTTCAATAAAAAAAAAGATGATCAGAAGCTGGCAACGTTGGCTCCCTAACACCAAATGCTCATAAAGCAGAGGGGGTTCTTGGAATCTGATCCAATGATGCTCATGTGTCACTTTCCATAACCCAAGCTATCATTCTTTAGTAAGGCAGCAATTGACACACGAGAGGACATGATGGCCACGAGATAGCAGCTCCTGAACAGATGCTAGGAGGAGCAGGAGGCATTGAGCTGATTTTTAGCAGGAAACTGTAATGGCTAATGAGGTGCGCTATTCAGCAAGGCAAGCTGGCAGGGCTAATTGGCAGCAATTAGGGGCCATATTTTTCTGTGTAAAAGTAGATTTTGCATATAAGCAATAAAGTCAGGAACCCAGAGAGACACTCTTAGTGCCTCATTCACCAGCTGTGAAAGAAGAACAGTTAGCTCCAGGTCACAACTCTACACATTTGTCAAAGCCTACAGCTACAAAGAGGGTATTTGTTCTGCCATCGATAATGCATGGCAAATTTGCATGGCTCTTATAGTGCCAATTATCATCTTGTTGGGATGAATGATAGTAGTTAAAGCAACAAGAATGTATACAATGGTGTTTTTGACAAGATCTGTGGATAAAAAAATGGGGATTTGGTTTGTAAAAAAAACCTATGCTTGCTACATTTATATTGTTTTGAGGTGAAGGACACTAAATCATTCTATAAGAAGCCAATTGATGGTCTTATGTCAAAGCAATTTAACATAGGACATGGACTGTTTGACTTGGGACATGGACTGACTGCCATAGAATTTGGGAGGCTATGAGAAATGTAGATAAAGAAACCAAAAAATTGAGATCTTAACCTTATTTTCCCTTGGATTGATTGCATTTTTTTCCTTTGAGTTCTATTTAATTTTCTTTCTTATAAAGCACTTATCAGAGCAACATAGAGCAAAAAAAAAAAAAAAAGCTGTTTAAAAATACATATAAAATGAGTCAAAAGTAAAAAAAAACTTAATTCCATTCTATTGTCACCATTAAATAGCAGGAATGAAATTAGTAATAGAATGGGCTGTGGTACTAAAATTAAAATTAAAAATTAATAAATCTGGGATAATTAAAAAAAATCCTATCCTGGTACAAGAAAATAAAACCAGAATGGATACCAGGCATACAGTATCTTCTTTGATAAGGCATTTCAAAAGCAAGGATTTACTGCTAAAGAACATCCATCAGGCTCTTCTCAAAGATGATAAGGAATTGGATCTGAATATACATATTTTTTACTTTTGTTGTTGCTGACAGAATCAATTATCTGTGCCATGCCACTTCACTAATACTCGATCAGCCAAATGACAGAAAAAAGATACTGAGGTGGGTGCTAGGGGAAAAAAAAAAAAACACTTAAGCCTGTGAAGACATGACTTGTTCTTAGATGCATTAAAAACTGGAAGAGAATATATATTTTAAAAGTAGTGTGCAAATCTGCAAATACCACCATACCGCCAGATATGATGAGCCTCCTTATGATGAGTCTGCACTCATAATTAGTTTCCCTTTGGCTCTTCATGCATCCATGTGACACTCAATCAAAAAAATTATACTTACTTTTTGGATAAAGTAAGTTGAGAGAGAGAGGGAGGGAGGGAGGGAGAGAGAGAGAGAGAGAGGGAGGGAGGGAGGCAAATTTTAAACAACACACATGAAGGCTTTGGGAAGAAAAAGCTTCAAAATGGGGCTGATGGCTGTCAGCTAAAATGACTAATGTGGACTTAGAGAGCTCTAATGGTTATTGTAAATGGGTTGTTAGTTTCAGTTCAGAGAAAGACTAGAGAGTGATTCTAAAATGGATTAGGTGTTCCTTGCACCTTAGCTGAAAGCTTCTTAGTTTGTAAACAGTACTAAATCTATAAAGTGTGTTAAAGAGGAAGAGAACCAATATGGGACTAGTTTCAGAGGACCCTTGGTAAGGTTGAGGATAATGAAAGAGAAGACTGTTTACTTGTTAGAAGTCATCAGCTAGATCAGTGGTTCTCAACCTGTGGGTCGGGACCCCATTTGGGGTCAAACGACCATTTCACGGGGGTCGCCAAACAAGGCTGTCCACCATTTTTTTCCCCTTTTCTTTGGCCACGGCCCTGGCACCCGGTGATATATAAGTGGTTGGGGGGTCACCACAACATGGGGAACTGTATTATGGGGTCGCGGCATTAGAAAGGTTGAGAACCACTGAGCTAGATGAAGGCATATTGTCAGTTTGCCTGACTAAAAGAGGAAACATTGCCACAAACTAAAAAGGAAACAATTATAATTAAGGAACACCCTGGAGCTCAGGTCCCTTCACAATACTGAAAATCATAATGTTCTTGCAAGTGTTGTTGAAGTCTACCCATCTCCCCCTAATTCATTTAGAGATGAAAACCTCTAGCAGCAACTAGAGCTATTCCTTTATTTATAAACAAACATAGATTATATAATAAGGGTGTTGGTTGGCACCAGTGATGTTTTCACTCCAAAATACATCGAAATGAACATGACCCATAGCTGATTATGTCAGTTTGCATGTCAGGTAGAAAACTTTCAAGCACTTTGCTCCCAACAATAGCCTTAAAAATAATGCTTTTCTGCTCTTTCTTAACACTCTGAATCAGTCTCACGCTGGTTTAAGAAATGAAACGAAAGATGTGGCTCAGCTTAAACTGGGAAAAATGTCTCTGGTTTGCAAGGAGTCATTGGCGATGGGCTTTTCTTGGCCCAAACCAAACCAAACCAAACCAAACCAAACCAAACCAAACCAAACCAAACCAAACCACTAAAATTCTAAATTTTAAAGAAAATAATCCTCTAGGAATTGAATCTGCTTTCATTCCATGGCAATAATAGAATAAAGAAAAATCAAGTAGTAGGCAGCAATTACAAATGCCTACTGAAATGTATCTCTCTCTCTCTCTCTCTCTCTCACACACACACACACACACACACAAAGACAGACAACATTGGAAATGTTAATATTACAAGTAGTCCTATACCACGGCATGCTATCTGGGAAATTTCTGGAAATTAAAATCCACATATCTTACAGTCGGCAAGGTTGAGAAACACTATTATAGGAATGGATTATTTGTTGTTCAAAAGCAAGGTGTTGATTGCCAGTAGATAGACCAAGTATCAGACTTTTCTATCATTGATGTCTGTATGGCATCTAACTGAGATCATTCCCCTTAAAGATATACTAACTAGGCTCTTAATCTTAGAAGGAACCAGCAATAAAATGTTCCACATGGACAATTTATTTCATATTTATTTGTTTACTTTTTGGGGCTGTTTGTAATGAATGCCCCATTTTTTTTTTTTAAAATGCTCATTCATTTTGTCATATTTTAGTCAAAAATGAAAAAAAATTCCTTTTGTCCAATGTCATACCCCACTCCCCATGTATTTTAAGAAGCAAAGAATTTCAGCTGATATCATGAAAGGGATCAAGGCCAGCAATGCTGAAGATCTAACAACAGAAACAATATAAGTTGCTAGGGAAATTGACCCAAAGGAATGTTCTAATCAACTCAGCTAAGCCAATTGCAGTAATTGCTCTTAGCCAAAAATGTCAATCAAAGGAAAGTGCTTCCATGATATCCTAAATAATCTTCTATGTCTGCTTTATGTAACAGGTTAAGATATCCTGCAGTATAGAGAATGTTTTGACTCAACATGTCTCCAAAATAAGCAGAATTAAGCCTTATAACAGGAAAGACAAAATACACAACATCCCCTTAAAAAAGCTAGACACTATATTGATGACTTGTAAGTTTTGAACTACTTGCTAGTGTATTAAATAACAAAGTCAGCCTTGGGGTACTATTAAATGTTGTTTCTTCCCCCAGCATTAACATTAAATAAATGAGACTTCTGTATGTATAATTTACTACTCTTCTCTTTTACATTAGGGTGATATTTTATATGCACTCATGTAACATGCCAGCCTTGAAAAATTATTCCCACCTGTTCTCCCACAGGAAAGTAATTCTTTTCTAAATGGCTGAATGAAACATTATTAGGTATTTTTTCTTTCATTGGCAACAATTTCCCTAAAAATGGTCAGGCAAGCAGATTTGGGTCCTTTTTCTACTCAATTCTACCAAGTTGTGTCTCAGCTATTTAAACCACCATTGGCTAATTTGGACAGTGTAGGGATCTGTCTGTCTGTCTGTCTGTCTGTCTGTCTATCTATCTATCTATCTATCTATCTATCTATCTATCTATCTATCTATCTATCTATCTATCTATCTATCTATCTATTATCTATCATAGAATAAGCAGAACTGGTCCTTCAGAAGCATCGGGAAAATTGAAGGTTTTCATTTCAAACCAAATCATG